CACCTGACTCATCGTTAGACTTTGAATATCTCATAACAAAATTTAACATACTTTGTTCTTATTTCTTCCTTCTCGAAGGTATCACCACCTTGTCGAAGGCAATCTGCCGGGTGAGGAGGCTTGCGTGCTCAAATGACCCTTAGGGCTATGCCGGCCTGAGCTTCGGCTCATGGTAGGGTCACCCAAGCCGGACAGGTCTAAGGAGATGCGCTAGACTAAGAGTGATACCCTGGTCCTCCAGGTTGGGGGTTGGGTGTAGGGCTAACAACCTTTCACCTTTAAAAAAAATATGTGTTACGAAAAAATCAACCAAGCCTCGGATCAGGACGGACTCTTTGGCACGACCACGGCAATTGAAAAAGGACATGAGATTTGGTACCTGGAACATTAGGAGCCTCTATAGGGCTGGGGCACTGAAATCAGTGTGTAGGGAATTAGGGAATTATAAGTTAGACTTAGTGGCAGTGCAGGAAGTGCGATGGGAGGGGGAGGGCACGATCCCAGTGGACAATTTTACATTTTTCTATGGAAAGGGGAATGACAATCATCAGCTAGGGACGGGTTTTTTTGTTCATAGCAGAATTAGGGCAGCAGTTAAGAGAGTAGAATTTGTTAGTGACAGGTTGTCTTACGTAATTTTGGAAGGACGTTGGTGCGACATCATTGTCCTTAATGTTCATGCCCCAACTGAAGACAAAAGCGATGATATCAAGGATAGCTTTTATGAAGAATTGGAATCAGTATTTGATACATTTGGCAAGTATCACATGAAAATTCCGCTAGGAGATTTCAATGCAAAAATTGGGAGGGAGGATGTCTTCAAACCCACAATAGGCAGCGAGAGTCTCCATGCACTTAGTAATGATAACGGTCTTAGAGCAGTAACCTTCGCTACGTCAAAAGATTTAATTGTAAAAAGTACAAAATTTCCACACCGTGATGTTCATAAATACACTTGGACTTCCCCAGATGGCAGAACACACAATCAAATAGATCATGTTTTAGTAGATAAGAGAAGGCAGACAAATGTAATTGATGTGAGATCATTCAGAGGAGCAGATTGCGACACTGATCATTATCTGGTGGTAGCAAAAGTGAGGGAGCGGCTTTCAGTAAGTAGACGAACTAAACAAAATTTTGACACAGAAAGATTTGATTTGAAAAAATTAAGTGAGGGAGAGGCAAAGGAACAATATCAAGTTGAAATTTCGAATAGGTTTCAAATTTTAGAGACAAATGAGGATAATGAAAGTGTGGACATCAACAGGGAGTGGGAAAATGTCAGAAACTGCATCAAAATTTCAGCAAAAGAGAAACTAGGATACTACAGGAGAAAGCAAAATAAACCGTGGTTTGATGAAGAATGTTCAAAATTAATAGATCGAAGGAAGCAAACAAAATTTCAATGGTTGCAGAACCCAAACAAAACAAATGCGGATAATCTATGTAACGTGAGACGTGAGGCTAGTAGAACCTTTAGGACTAAGAAAAGGGAATACCTGAAGGGCAAAATTGCTGAACTTGAGACAAATAATAAGGAAAAAAACATCAGAGACCTGTACAGAGGCATTAATAACTTTAAGAAAGGATATCAACCCCAGACTAATTTGGTAAAGGATGATAGTGGCAATTTGCTTGCAGATCCAATAAAAATTGTGAATAGGTGGAAAAATTTCTTTAGCGAGCTCTTAAATGTTCATAATACTGGTGATATTAGACAGATTAAAATGCATACAGCTGAACTGTTGGTGCCAGAACCTAGCTTAGATGAAGTGGAACTAGCCATTGGGAAGTTGAAAAGTTATAAATCTCCAGGAATTGATCAGATTCCGGCCGAATTAATTAAAGCAGGTGGCAAAGGGTTGCATATGAGGATCCATAAGCTTATTCAGTTAATTTGGGATAAGGAAGAGATGCCACATCAATGGAAGGAATCCATAATTATTCCTATTTATAAGAAGGGGGACAAGACTGAGTGTGGTAATTACCGAGGAATATCGCTGCTATCAACCTCATACAAAATTCTATCCAACATTCTTTTGGCAAGATTAACCCCATATGCGAATGAAACTATTGGGGATCATCAGTGTGGGTTCAGACGAAACAGATCAACGATTGATCAGATCTTTTGCATTCGTCAGATACTAGAGAAAAAATGGGAGTTCGGTGGGACTGTACATCAGTTATTTATAGATTTCAAAAAAGCCTATGACTCTGTGAAGAGAGAAGTGCTATATAATATTCTTATTGAATTTGGTATACCAAAGAAGCTAGTGGGTCTAATAAAAATGTGCTTAAATGAAACCTGCAGCAAAATTCGAGTAGGTAAATATGTATCTGAGACATTCCTCATCAAGAACGGTCTAAAACAAGGAGATGCTTTGTCTCCCTTGCTCTTTAACTTTGCGCTAGAATACGCCATCAGGAAGGTCCAAGGTAGGCAGGAGGGTTTGCAATTGAACGGGACACATCAGCTATTGGCATATGCTGATGATGTTAATTTATTGGGGGACGATATAAATACAATAAAGAGGAACGCAGAAGTTTTACTAGAGGCTGGTAGACAAGTGGGGCTGGAAGTAAATTCAGAAAAAACTAAGTACATGTTAGTATCTCGTCATCAGAAGACAGGCGGGCAAAATTATCTTAGGGTAGCTAATAAATCCTTTGAAAGGGTTACAAAGTTCAAATATTTGGGAACAACAATAACAAATCAAAATGATACTTGTGAGGAAGTTAGGAGGAGACTAAATTCCGGAAATGCTTGCTACTTCTCAGTCCAAAATATTTTGTCTTCCCGTCTGATTTCTAAGAACCTGAAAATTAAAGTATACAAAACAATAATCTTGCCTGTTGTTTTGTATGGGTGCGAAACATGGTCTCTCACTCAGAGGGAGGAACACAGATTGCAGGTGTTTGAGAATCGGGTGTTGAGGAGGATATTTGGGCCTAAGAGGGAAGACGATGGGGCGTGGAGAAAACTGCACAATGACGAGCTTAAAAATCTGTACTGCTCCCCCAGTATTGTGAGGGTGATTAAGTCGAGAAGAGTGAGATGGGCGGGACATGTAGCGCGCATGGATGGGACAAGAGGTGTGCACCGGGTACTGGTTGGGAAACCTGAAGGGAAGAGACCGCTGGGGAGACCTAGACGAAGATGGGAGGATTATTTCAAACAGGCACTGCTATTGGATCAGTTGGTATAAAATCAATGAAAATTATTTTATTAAAAAAGTACAAGAACTAAATAATTATACTACAATATTGTAAAGCAGATATTGTTGACTTCAGGCAGATTGCTAGAACTTCTGTATTGCTGACATGTTTTCAGATAAGCTGTAGAGGACTGCTAATGAGGTTGGATAGATTCTCCTTAGAATTAATATATAGTCTGATGAAATGGGTAAATGCATGATGGAGAAGGGCAATAAAGGTGAATAAAGCTAGTCTCCACTACTATAGTTTTATTTGTGGACAGTACACACATTAAACCTAACCTAACCCAACCTGACAGCTGATTAAAATGTACCTGTATTCTTATGATCTTGGCCTGGTACTCCTTCTCTAAGCACTCATTTTCAGCACGCAGTCGCTGCTCCTGTCTCTTAGAAGTACTTTCCAGCATTGCAATTTGTCGACTGTAAACCATAATCATATTATCATCATTGTACATAGGATGGTACTGGCTTGTAGTGGTAAATGTTGTTGGGTTATGGTGAGGGTGGCAATAAGTGCTGATGCTTATTTACGATGGCTGTCATAGGTGGTGATGGTTGTGGATGATGGTATGTAGTGTAGCTGGTGGTGGCTGTAGTTGGTGGTAATTTCATGGTAGTTGTAGTGGTGATTTATGGTTGTAAGTTTTTGTAGTGGGGGTTGTCCGTAATGGTAGGTGGTTAAATGGTGATGTTGACTCATGGTAGAGGTTATTTGTGGCCATGGTAATAAGTGGTGGTGATGGCTGCGGGGTAGCTGTCTGCTGGTGAATGTACAATACCTGTAAGATTCTTCAAGAAGTTGCACCTCCTCCAAATGTTTAGCCTTCAGGCTCTCCAGGACTGACTCAAGATGCCTGCTCTCAGTTCTTACTTGCTCCACTGCAGCCTGCAATAATGCAGCCACACTTCAGATAGAATATGAACATGTCACTGGCACAATTCAGACATATTATGTTCTGATGGAACTAATAACCTCCCATGCTACTAAACACATTCAAGAATTGTAAAATCAGATGCAATAACAGAGTGAGCATGCCAGAATTCTTATAGTGCACATTTCTGAACCAGAACTTGTTAAATATAAATGTTGATACTTAATTACATAGTTGAACAGAATGAGAAAAATGTTTTTTAAGTGGTTTCAAGTACACATCTCCCAACTTTTGCGACAAACGCACGAAACCGTTTTATTTCTCACTATATTTTAAAACAACTGGGAAATCACATAATTTTGATGCCTCTTATGTTTTATGAGCAGATCGCATTAAGTTTTAAGCTTTACATATTTATACTGCAGCAGAATTTTCACATCAGTACTAGGTTTCTGAAAATAATTCTTGTTTCGCATATGTGGTGTTCATATGCCCCATATATGACAGATAACAAATCAACATTATGACAGGCAATGTTTTTCAACACTGAAGACAGCTGTCTTCTGAGTTGTAGTGTTATGCAGTATGGAAGAAGTTTACTGACAATTCAGAGGTGTCCGGTGCTCCTTAACCATCACCCCAATCAAGGCAGTAAGCACCTCTGAAATATCAGTAAACTTCTACCAGACTCCACAATGCTACAAACCAGAACACAACCATCTTCATACTCACTGTTATGACAGCCCAAAGTCTCACTTTTTCAACAATCTTTTCTGGATGAAGACCGAGGGGAAATCTTCAGACTTGGAAAGCCTTTGAAGTGGCAACCTTAGTTTCATATGTATATCCAAAGTAATTATTCACTTAATCCTATAAAGAACAATTCACAAAAGCTGAAATACCTGACTCTCATTATTCACTGCAGAAGATGGAGTTACAACCGTAGGTGCAATCGCTGGATCCGTAACTGGCTGTGCAAGCAGCAACTGAAATTTTACAGCACTCTTACATATCTCGGGAGAAAATGTAGATATGAATAACATTTTAAGTTATAATAGTGACCAACAAAATGAATCTTCAGAGCGTGTCTGTGTTGATATGGAATAAAACTCTGATGCGTCTGAAACTGTTTCTGTCTTGTTATCAACTCTATTCCATATTGACTTGGCTCATCACACAAGAAAACTTCATTACTGTTATGGTTATAGGCATGTACCAAAACACTCGAATATTTAAAAACATAAATTTCATGGCAGAAAAAGGATGGATCATTCAGAAGTATCCACTGGACAGCAGGTTTGTTACAACAGAGAGATAATTTGGTAAGGATGAAAGATGATTGCTAGCTGTCTTTTGGTTGTAGCAACATGTAGTCTGGTAGAAGTTTACCAATGTTTCACAGGTACTTGCTGCCTCCACCATCAGGGCAATCACCCTTCTACCAGATTACATAGCGCTACAACCCAGAAGACATCCATCTTCTTACTCACCACCATGAGAACCTCAAATCCTACTGTGATGAAAGACATTCCTGTCCATACTGAAAATGAAACACAAGCCATCCAGCCCACAGCCAGTCACTATATACTGACTGAACTAACTTCAGCTATCCATAATAATGTATAATTTGTAATAAATTTTCAAAACTTTCTGCTAAAATATAATCCTAAACATGCCACTACTCTGCATATACACTGACCACAAAACATTGCATAAAATACTTCATAATCATAACATCACCCACTACCTGTATGTGTGCACCAATGCGTTCCTGCTGTGATCTCATGTGCACATCAAGCTGCTCTTGACGTTCAATTTGTCGACGTATCAGCTCCTCCAGCTGCTGTTCTTGGCGCTGTAAAATTTCCTGCTGGCGCACTTGAAGGGCAGACAGTCGCTCTTCATGCTGCTTCATATGCAATGCTGTTAACAGTTGCATCTCCTGATGCTGCAGTGCTGCCACTACCTGTTGGTCCATCTGTGATCCTGTAGTCAGCACTTCCATGCCAGTGGCTGAGTTTATTAACAAAATAAAACAACTGTATAATTTAATATCAAGGCCTACTATCAATTTGTAATGAGCCGGGATAGCTCAGTCAGTATAGTGACTAGCTATGGGCTGGACGACCGGGGTTCGATCCCCAACGGGGGCAGAGAATTTTTCCTCTAGCCTCTGCGTCCAGACCGGCTCTGGGGCCCACCCAGCCTCCTCTACACTGGGTACCGGGGTCCTTTCCCGGGGGTAAAGCCGGCCGGGGCGTGATGCTGACCACTCACCCCCATCTAGTGCCGAGGTTAAGGAAGAGAGACTAGCTATGGGCTGGACGACCGGGGTTCGATCCCCAACGGGGGCAGAGAATTTTTCCTCTAGCCTCTGCGTCCAGACCGGCTCTGGGGCCCACCCAGCCTCCTCTACAATGGGTACCGGGGTCCTTTCCCGGGGGTAAAGCCGGCCGGGGCGTGATGTTGACCACTCACCCCCATCTAGTGCTGAGGTCAAGGAAGAGAGGAGCTATACCTCCACTCACCCCAAACGCCTACATGGCGTATAGTGGGACAAACTTTACTTTACTTTACTATCAATTTGTATGACAAACTGCAAAAAACATTACCAAAATTAATGCACCTGACGACTGCTAAATTATAAGTACAAAATATTAATCTTGTTCCTTTATTTCTTGTTTTATTTAACAAGATCATGATCATAAAACAAATCTCTGTATTTGAGTGAGGCACAGCTGGCTGTCTAACAAGTTCAACAATTATACATGCTCCTCCCATGGTACATATTAAAAATGTTATCATGGATATAGACTGTGACATCTTTTTGCTACATATTTAACTGTCACTTCTAAGTGTTTGTCAACAGAAAACACTACAGTTTCCAGATTGTTAACTGCTGTGCTGATGAGCTACACCCTTTTTTAACATTGCTGGTTGAGTGGAACTGAACCACTCAACTTTTAAAACACTTTTGGCACTGTAACTCTGAATAAACTAACCCATGGGTTGTGATAAGGACACTGATGCTGTAGCTGGTACTACAAATGCTTTTCCTGACACTGACATTGCTGGTTCAGGCTGGGTGTGTGGTGGTTCAGCCATAACTGTCCCTCCACCTCTCAGCCAGACAGGAAGCGGCTGGTTACCTCCAGAAATCCTCTGACGTCTCTCCGGGGAGTCAGAATTGGTAGCCTTCCAACGAAATATATTCTTAATTTACTGCTAGGTACAAGAATAAAGAAGCCATTTGGGTGGCTGAAGGATAATATTACAGTAAATTCTGGAAATATTCCTATTACAATTAACATGAGGCTAGCATAACCATTAAAATGTATTTAGTTAATCATAATACATACTTGAATGAATCGCTGGAGTGCAGAGGAATTAACCAGAACTTTTAGTTCCATTCATATTTGCACAGTTTACACCATCACCAGTGTATTATCACTATTAGTAAAACATAACTGTCCTTTCTTGGTGCTGGTATCTGGGTTAGCCTGCACTGACAATGAAATCAGTACAGTAGATATCCATTACTATGAGAGTTCACAACTCTCGGAAAACTGTTGTTATAAAAAACATTCATTATAGGTAATTAAACATCTAAAGAGGTAAACACTGCCCCCAGAATCAGATGTCAAAAGACAGAGTAGCTAGAGATCTGATGGACAATATTAACCTTTCATTACCATGAAACATGGCACCAATATACTATTATGCAGGAGTTTTACTATTGTTCCACTATATTTTTGAATGTAACTGAATTATTTCCATTTAAAATGTATTCATACTAAGAATTGATATTGTTGACCTTGACCTGCCTTGCATGCAGCTATCAACAAATCATAAATAAATCTACTGAATGGTATGTGTCAGTAGGTAGACAACAAAAATTTACAGAAAAGTTGAAACCAACATTATTCCTGCTCTACTTGCCATCTTTATATGACACAATGGACTGTATAAGAGTCCATCATATCTACAAGTCAGTACTTAAAATAAAGAGTGTAAATTATTAAGAAACCAGCTCCACTGAGCGCAGTCCTTGAAATGCTACTGTTCATTCAACTGCTTAAGAAATTCCTACCTTTTATGGGACCTAAACGCTCACTACCATATTCACAAGTGCCCAAAACACTGCTATAAATATCAATAAAACTACAAAAACTGACAGATCAGGATGCATCATTATGACAACAGGTGTACAAGAGCAACTCACACAGGACACAATAACACAATGGTAGTCCTAACTGAGATAGAACAGTTTCCCTGCAATCCATCTGGCTGTATAAAGTACGTACTGTAACTGGAGGAGCCCCTCTAACAGAAACACCAAGCCAGTCAACTGTCTTATGACCCAGATTGCTGGAAGACAAATGGCGATTCTCTTTGTTTGGAGATGGTACAGTGGACAAGATCCCCAAAGGATCCGGGACAATGGCCGTGCCTGAATTACGTCGGGAAGTGGGGCGACGACCAGAAGCTGACACAGATGGTGAATAATTTCCAAATGACACACCACTTGCAGGCTCGTGGATCTGCAACAGATAATAACTACAATTTCAAAAATAGTCCAACTGCATTCTACATATTACACGGCTTTCATGAACAACTCATATTTCCTCTTAAAGGATTATAAGCACAACTGACTCAAGTAGTGGATGACTAAAGGCCATAACTCCCCAATCTCTGTATCTGAATATATCAGTGCAGCTACACGCACTGCAATCACAATGTGAACTGTCATCAAGTGAATGGTTATTGGGAAAAGATTAGAGGCTGGAAGGAAGCTGTGCCACTCTGTTTTACTGTCTGAAAAAGACACTGTACCTACAGTAATTCATCTAACAGTGCTAAGTAAAGGAACTCTGAATTGGTGTTTCCTGCTATACCATAGTAACAAGTTTATGCTTATAAACTACAGACAAGGAGTGTGGGACTCAAAAGAAGTGGTCAGTAAAGTAAGTTGATAATACAGTGCACTCTTCCTTAATGCCACTCTTTTAACCAGCTCTCACACTTAACTGCCTCTCTTTTTCTTAATCCCCAAATTTCAAACATGATTAAATAATTCTTCACAAATATACCATAATTTGTACTGTTTCAGATGGTAACTAGCATAGCATATGTTGTTATGAAAGTTCTGTGATTAACACCATTTATGTTTTCAATCTTTTACAAACTGAGTTAAAAAAAAAACGGAAATAAAAGAAAACCAATGGCGCTGTACGGTGTATCTGTTAACTGATAAATCACTGTTATGCTGAGTTAAAGCCACTTGATACTGCATTTTTATTACTTACTACCACTTGGTCCCATTTAAGCCTGTTAAGCAAAAGTCTACTGTATGTCAAATGTGATCTTCTGGGTTGTGACGCTACATAGTCATGTAGGTAACCACAGACAACACACAACAATGACTGTATGGCACCACGACCCAGAACACCACACTAATGTGACAGTCCCAAATCTCAGAAACTGATGGAAATAGTGCGAATTTTCCATTAACCACCTTATGGATGCAGTTATCAACTTTTAATTCTGTGTACTTGGCAATAGTTGAAAGCAATTATTAGGCAATGCAAAAACATATGTAAATAATATAATTTGATTATACAGAGACATTCAAAAGCTGATCACATCAATTTGGACAAAAACTTGCCTGTGTTGGGTGCAGAGCATTTCCACCTGCAGACATCCTGTCACCAGATGATTTCTTCTTTCCCAACAAATCATCCAAAATGGTTAGTGGAGGTGCAGCTACTAAAATTTATAAATATAAATTTCTTAAGAAAACTCAGAAATACAAAAATATGGCACCATATCTACAGGCCTGTATAGCACTTGCTTAACTTCAACACAGGGTGGAGGAAAATGGTCAGCTTCAGAGTATCTATTGGTAGGACACTACAAATATTTTTATGTTACAAAAACAGGAAAAGATGATACATATTTACATGTTACACCAAACATTCAACCCTCGGTGTTAACCTGTTTGTAGCGATGATCAATTATACTCAGTTTCATCTGAGAAGCTAGCTCTCCCTTGCTGCAGTGAAGTGAACTCAGACAATATTATTAACAAAAGGTGGTGTGTCTCCAACAGTCTTGCTGAACAGTCTGTGTAGATTCATTTTATGTTCATATCTTGAGTCAAAACCAATCTCACAGTTCTTCTACTATCTTCTGAACAGTCAGATGATAATTTATTCCCAATTCAACAATTAAACAAATAATGAAAATAATTCAGCAGTGTGTAAACCACCAAAGTACACACATGCGTGCATATGTAGCAGTGCAAAGGTTACATTTTGGGTTACACAGTATAAAGTAAGAACAACTCTATTCACTAGAATTATGTGAAACATCAATAATAAATCTAACCTTCATTGCCAGGTGCATTTTTACCAAGTACCTCATCCAGTTTGGATTTGGGCTGTCTGCCTGCAGCACCATGCACCTCACTTCCAAAACCCATTCCTGCCAAAAGATCTCCATCATCATCACCGCCACTTCTACTGCCTGCTTTCCTAGAAGCTGGGGCTTGCTTTGTTGCTGATCTTCCTAATACTGAAAATAAGTACTAAAAATGACCAGGTGACATGTCATCGTGTCATTGTCATCACCATCACCAACTACTCAAGAATCATTAGACAGCATCATACACCTACAGACCCACAAGAATTTCTTGTTTCATTACATGTTAATAACTTTATTCATGTATACAGTTGTACAATACCATGTTCTGGTGTTTTACTGGATGATTTTGCTACTTCTGGCGTCTTGTTCTCAGCAGGCAGGGAATCCTTCAAACCCAACCAGCTGGCTGAAGAGTCCCCATCATTCTGAGACTGCTGTGGCTGTTTCTTCTCTTCCTCCAGGCCAAAAAGTTCTGCTACCACTTTGGATCTGTTTTGCTTCTTCTTGGGTTCTGAAGGGTCATATCCTGACTCCTGTTTTCCAGTAGATTCTGCTGTATTACTTTTAAAGACACCAGTATTCTTTTTCTTATCATAAAAGTCATCTTCGTCTGACAGTAAACCATCCAAAGGATCATCAGCATTAAAATCTGTTTAAAAACGAACATAAATACTTGCAGTTAAGACTGTCCCAGAAGGGCCAAAGCCCAGAATCAAGAAATTAGGTAAGGTATGAAAAGTATAAATCCTACAAGAAAATTTGGCCTGATACAGTGATACGGACATGTGTTACTCATAGATGATAGAATTCCTTTATAAATAAGTCTGAAAATGTACATTTACACCAAATGTTTTTCTCATGTTTTCACAGTCAATGTGTTTAACATCACAAAATTTTGGTTACTGTCCATGTCCTTGCAAACAGAAGGATGTCACTGACATAAAGGCTCAAACAGCAACAATGTCCTTGTGGTGTCCACATGAGAGAATTTCCCACACAGTCAATTCTGCACACAGAAAGGCATGTAGGTCTTCATGTAAAGCGTAGCATTACTGCTGTCTGGTTTTAACCAAAATCAGAATTTGATGGCAAATGTTAGTAATATTCCCAGTATCAATTCTTAAAATGTTACAGGCAGACAAACAGATGGACATCTCATGAAAAACATGTTTCAATATAAAAGTACAGAGAAAACATATTTTTAAAAAATTTGGTAATGAGTGTTCACATGAAATCAGTAATAACAATGAACATAAGTTGAAAATTTTGCTACTTCTGAAGATCTAATTGTCACAACATACATGAACACATTTGTATCTAAATCACACTGATTGCACTTAAACAGATAACAGATAGCACTCATGTATAGTTCCTGCAGTATCAGCACTCACAAAAGTACTTCAGAAGATCACTAATTAACCTCAGATTAAGGTTTAATGTTTATGGAGGAGATTGTGGATCAAAGGCTGAGAGAGTTGAACTTAGAATTCATTACATTTAAATGTGTTCAACATAAAGACCAATAAGATACAGAAAGAACTGTTTGTCCATCATGCTTAATGTGCCACTACTGATGTGCACGTGCGCAAACCTCGACATGAGAAGTCAAGATGTCAGACCTCCAAAATGAGTCACAATGAGGAACATGATGTAGAATGAACCATTCAAATAAGTGTATTTGCTAAGACTGAAAACCACACACGGTGGATTCACTGATAAGGTTGAATTAAACTGTAACTTCCTGGTTCCAGGCTGGAAGTGAACAAAAAGGTAAGCTGTTAGTTTCCTTCATTGTTTTCATGAAGTGATACATGATTCATATAAAGAAAACCCTGTAGTGCTTGTCTATGAGTCATGCAGTTCAAACCAGGAGCTCGAAAGTGACAGCTGCATTTAACTTTATCAGTGAAAGTGCAGTATATAAAAGTGTATAACCCAAAGCCACATACATTGGAGAATACCTGTAGTTTCTATGGCACTGTAGTACTGCATTAAAGTATGCATTAATCATTACATACTTAATGGTATGCTTGCTTGATGAATGTTATTGCTACTCACCTCCAAAGTCTATATTCTTCTTTATTGGCTTCTTACTAACAGATTTCCCAAATGACTTGTCTGGAGAATCAAATGTCACATGAGACTTCTGTAGTCTCTCAGTACTTCCATCATATGAGGGAGACTGAAATTACATCACACTACTTTGAAAACTAAATCTCTGAAAGTTAACATAATTTATGCAGCCGACATATGTCTATATACTAACATCCCAGATGCTGTATGGCTCATTACGGCATTGTCAAGAGGCCTCTTGATAAAGATAGACCCAATGGAGGAAACCCCTTTCCCATGCTGAAAGATGCAGACACAGCCAACCACCAAAACACATATCTTTATTGTATTTTTTTAAAACTTTTAACATTTTTATCTAACAATTGACAACATCCAAGAACCCCTACAGCAAGATACTATACCGATGTTGCAGACATTCAAGGTATCACCTCAGATGTAAAGATAATTAATAAATTACACTACCAAAATAAAATATTACAAACTCTTCCTTCAATGTCTCAGTGTGCTTTTGGAATAAAACAGAAAATGCATAATTCTACCCGGTGAACGTAAATATTTCTTGGAATTACCCCCTTAATACTAGAATTAGTGCTATAGGCTATGCAAAAATTTCAAGACTGTTTCTTCATAACTAAATAACAATTATAATAGAGATCTTTGTGTCCAAACAAGCAGAATGTGCAAACTCAAATATTTTATACTGTAATGTCATTTTGTAATTCAAATTTCATGTAACATAAATCAAGCCTCTGAGCATCAGACTGTTCAGATCATGGCAGGGCTAACAAAATGTTTCACTGGATCAATGGCAGGGAAAAGGATAAATTTAACTTACCTTCAAAGCAGATTTAACAGCAGTTTTTGCAGAAGATGACTTTTCTTGTTTTTTACTGAAAGAAGAAGCAAAGAGACTATCCTCCAAATTATCAACATCCTGAAAAAACAAAAATTATTCATGGTATAGCATAACTTTTAACAATACTATGAGAGTTAGTGAAGTAACTGACTACAGAATGGACAATTAGGGTTCAATTCCTGGCAGGGGAAGAAACTTTTCTCTTTGCTACCATGTGCAAGGTCTACAAAGACCTCTTACCCATACAAATACCTCTCAACAAGAAGTGTTCCTACTACATATTAAGGTAGTTTGTCTTCTCAAGCCTCCCTGTTTCATCACCATTCATTATCCCCAACACCACATGCAACTTAAAGCATACATCATACTGTATGACAGGTAAATGTACCCTACCTTAATTCAAAAGGGACAAAAGTCAGTGTTTGTTGTCTGCCAGATATCTTGATTACTAATTAATATTCTTTATCATTAACACATATATTTATATTAATACATTTCCTGTATATTTGATAAGCATTTATGACAGACATTAATCTAACCTGCACCATCTTGGCCAGTTGTGTAGGATCCACATCGGATATTTGGGATTCGCCATCACTTCCAACTTGATTTGCCAAGTCTCCGTAGAAATTTGCCATTTCTTCATGACTGTTTCTTGTTTATAATAGTTTCTCAAACACATAAAACTTGTAATACCGTAGTGCATATATAAATGTATTACATTAACTCGCAATTAATGTACTTTTTCGTAATTTTATACTTTAAAATGCTACAAAACTAAATTTCATTTTGCCCCACGGTAATAACATGGATAATACCCAAAGTAAGGTTATGTTCAACAGGGTTATTTTAAATACAGCCCATATTTAATATCTTTAAATTTGCTGCATACTAAAACAAAATAATTTATTGGTTCGTTAAAATGGCAGGCACATACACAAATGGTTAAACACGAAAACGTTACTTACAATCTTTTCCGTTAAACGTACGCCACACACCATTTGTTTACACCCATGGTCCCCCTGATCAAAATGATCAGCGGTTACCTATATTTTGTCGTTGGTGGTAAACTAGGACTAAAATTTTGAAAAGTCTAGTCACGTTTACACCATCCTAAAATGCAATGAAACAAATCAAAAGAATTCGCAGTATAAATAAATTACCGTAATTTATGTTCGACCGTTAGATATTGGTTTTTGAAATTTATTAAAAAATCACCCTCTTAAATCATTTGGGTGGGAACCACAAGCTGATAAGGGGAAGGGTTGAGAATGGGAGCAGTTAAGGGTGTGGAGTCCAAGGCTTCATTTTCAACACCCGGAAAACCCAACCAGAGGGCTGACTGAATTACAGAAGTAGAATGATTATAACGCTATTACGTAGCTCTGCTCATGCCTATCACAACCAAATCCAATCTAATCCATCCCCTTCACATGGGATATCCATCTTTTCGCATATTTAGAAAAGAATGGCAGGGCGAAAATTTATTATCTACAGAGCAGATATAATGTACCATATCATGTGAGACGAGAGCATACTCTTACTTTTTACTTTGAACACTTCGTAATATCAAACACATCATGTCTGTGAGTAGTGAGGTGGAATGACAAATTATCAATGATCCGCTGCACTGGGTCCAAAGGGCTAATATTGTGACTGAGATTTTTTGGTTTGTTCCGTAGTTGTATGAGGCAAATGCTGTAAAAGTATCTTGAAACAGGCTGCAACCACTTCCTTCCAAATACTTTCCAATATATCATACATTACCACAGAAAATAATTAAAATCAAAACAATAGAACACAGGATGATGTCAATTTGTGGAGGATTACAAGCTTTTCTGAATACCTCAAGAAACTCCAGTCCACATTTTACCACCATACACAAAATCTGGCCATAAACAATATATTTTTTCAGCAACATATCTGAAAAAGCAAGAAATATATGGAATGAAACTTTATATCATATGTTATACATAATATGTCATGACAGTTTACCTAGAGAACCAAGGTGGGAGTACTGTTGTAGACACCAAACAGAACAGAGCACAAATTGGCAAAATAAGTGAAGGATGCTGGACACAATTATTTCTCATCACCTCAGATCTTTTCAAATGAACGTAACAGGAAAATAAAGAATTTACATATACATTGAATTTGATACTGAATGCACAAGACTTATCAGACTGTACAGATGTTATCCAAAATCAATCAATCAATCAATCAATCAAAGTGTGACGTAATGTAGAGATAGTGATGTACACTGTCTTTGATTCTGGTAAATAATATTACAGATGAATCATCATCTGACTGGTTTTAACTTATTTTTAAATGTCAGCTATAGAACATTACTTTACTAAAGATGGTAATCGAGTGGTTAGCGCTTCTGCTTCATAGTTGTATGGTCTTGGGTTCAAAAACTTGTCCCAGAGGGCAGCTATCCTGACTGATGTGTTTTTGTGATTTTCATTTGTCATTTCATGCTCAGGAAAGAGATCAAGATCGAACTACATCCCGATAACTTTAACAGGGAAGATGGACTTCACCTGAGCCGGTCCTGGAAGCCTCTTATTCACACACTTCGAGGACTCCGAGAGCGAGCAAGAGTGCGCCACCAGAACCAACCAGACCACTAACATGGCCCCTTTTCAGGGCCCGGATACATCCAACCAAACTCACCCTTTCTCTCTTTACTTTCCCTCCCCCTCCCACTCCCACACTCGCCCACGCGCTCCCATTGGCTCGGCGCAGGCTATACCTTTCACTTTCCGGGCCTATAAACCTAGCCCCACACACCCCATTGGCATATTCATCGCCCTGATGACGGAGGCAGTATGACCTCTGAAACGTTGGTTAACATCGACCAGACTACACAGCGCAATAACCCAGAAGACGGATATCTTCATACTCACCGCTGTGAGAACCTCAAGTCTTACATTCCTACAACTGCTGACAATTCTCAGTTCATTTGATCATTCTTTGTCAACTGCTAAGATGCTGTTGAATGTGAGAGTGATTAGAAATAATGAGATGGTGTAAGATGTGAAAGAAAACAACCATGGTTTTTTTAAAGTCTCAAGCATTTTATTTGAAGGGGCTTAGGAAAACTACATAAAAATATCAATCATGTCAGCCAGTCTATAAGCTCCAGTGCTAACTGCTAAGCTGAGGTATTGGGCCTTCATTGGATGTTCTGCTGAATACAGATCAGTTTAAAGAAAACACTGAAAATATATTTTTATTGATATGTTACCATTTTCCATGTGTTTAGAGAGTAAGCTAAAAATACATTGTAATATTTAGCACCCTTATTTAGTCTCTACAAGCTACAGATATGTAATTTCTATGTGTTACTCAAATTAAAACAAAAACATGCAAAATAAAAAATAGAAAATTACAAGAAAGATCTACCACAGTCCCTTCATTTTGATTATAATCATGGCAGTGTCTCTGAAATACCATTGAATCAACCTGGTACACCATGCTGAACACTGTCAATGCTTTAAGACTTCAGCTGTCCCCTACAAAGCACCATCTCCTATTTACCACCCACAGGTGTGAACACTTCATAGTCAACAACAGAGAAGTTATAATCTCCCATCAGGATGCTGCACGAGGCATTTTCCCCATCATATGAGTGGGGTAGATTCGAGTAGCTGTCCATGTTGGTGTTGCAATTGCTTGCTATTAGCAGATCAGCTCCTGCTCCAAATATTGGTCCACAGCTGCGAAAGATAGGTTAACACATCTGATCAGGTGAATCTCAAAGATTAATACTCTTCTTGAATTCAAGCATAATACCATAAAGACATACAGCAGTATTAGATGGGAATTAGTATTCAGTTTCACACCCAGGCCCTTTTACTCTTGTGAGAAGAGTCCTTGGTACTATTGGTAGGATGCAAAGGAAAAGGGAAGTTTCTTTATTGATCAAGCTGAGATCATCAACTATCAAGACAGTGATGTGAACATTCTGGAAACTTACTCAGGATGATAGCATATAGCAAACATTTTCTTCACAATGTCATATTTGGTAGGAGGCATGTCCTGATTATTACTCAGAGTAAACAAGAAGGCCTTCTCTGATGGAATGTAGTGTCCCTTAGTATTCGTCTTTCCCCAAGGCACATCACTGAATCCTCCACAGATCTCACCTCGGGCTCCCTGAAATGATGGAATTTACTACAAAATACTGAAACAGATCACTGTACACACTAAATCAGATCTATAAAAATTGTATTTACCTCTAGAAAAGTTTCATACTTCATCGGTTTTTTCTAGGCAGCTGCACGGAGAAAAGGAGGACATAAATGCCAACTACTGGAACCTAACCTGGACCACTACAACCCAGTCCATATTTTCAAAATCTATTTCTTTAAAATACCCTTCCTCTCATGCATAATTATATTTGCAAAGAGTAATTTTTTTTAATGCTTCCTTGATCCACAATATCTGAATTCCATTGATATGAGACCCTTTAACTTAAATCACACTTTAATGAAATCTTTCCAGATGTATATGAAATAAGTGATTAGACAATATTGGAATTGATTATGATCCACATAGCACTATGTAAACACATTTCATCATAATAACCTCAATTCTGCATTTCATATCAGAAAATATTTCAGATGAGGCTTAATATTAACCAATAAACCACAAATCATACTTGGGTGATTGGCACTCCTGTTTTGTATCCAGGAAGGTATGGGTTTGAATTTTGCCCCAGAGATTGGCTAATCTGACTGAGGTTTCTCAGCATTTTCTTCAGTCCCACCAAGCCTAAAATAAACCATTTCCTTCAACAATGCTACCATTTGACGCTGTGTAATCTATGCAGTTGAAGAAGCATCATTAAATAACCCCAAAATACTAACCATTGCTATTACATATGTAGGGGCTACTCCATCACAATATCTGTGAAATGATTCAGCAGAATAACCATGACTTGATGCTCGGTACACCAGCCGCCAAACCTGTTTTGAACTCCCATACCAAGTGTTCAGAACACGCTGATAACAAGTCTTCTCCTGGAATTTAAGAACAAAATTTATTTTCCAAAGTGTATCAGTAGTTCGATTATTATATGAATACTATATTGGACACTATCCATTGTTTTGAAGTAATGCCATACAAACTGAAATAGAAACACAATGTTTATTAAAACCACCACAAAATAAACTTGACAAATTTGGTATCTCAAAACTCCATTAATAGAACTTTCAGTCTATTTATTTTTTATTCTGATAAATGACACATTTAGTCATTACCTGCACAAGTATCTGAGAACCAGGAAATAGTTTGAGGGAGACACGGGGCTGTAATCGTTTGTCTTCTGAATTCTCACGGAATTTGTTGGGCAGAGCTGCATAGCGATAACGTTCCAGAGAGAGCTCCATAGGCACTGCTCCTGTTGGTTCAACTTCTTCAGCAAACACTTGACTGTCTAGAAGATTAAAATCTCGGTAAATTCAGAGGTTTAACTGTTACATCTGTTTTCATCATAAATACATAACTAGAGTTTAATTTTCATACATTTGTAGTCAAGGAGCCAATCTCTGCATTTGAGTTTGACAATGTTTCACACTATCATAAAATGGCTTTCAATTAGGATTAAACAATTTCATGCAACTCCCCTAAGGTACTTACTAGAATAAATATACCACAGAAAATCCATCTGCAACCCAAGGAGACATCACACCAAGCAGGCAAGGACTAACAAAATTTGACATGCAAAAATTGCATTAAAATCCAGCACTTTCTGAAGATGTGGTCTTCTTGTAATGCACAGCAAAGGTCTGACACAGAAGTGTCATCGGACCATAAAGCATTCAAGTAACATTACTTCACACACCTATGAGTAACAATCGCACATGGTTGATGACTCCAGCAAGATTCTGACACACCCGAACCCGTTCCTCTTCTGCCCAGTGGGCTGTGGGCTGAGTGACACCAGCCTGGTACTTAGCCCAACTGAGGACTGCCCTCCACACATCTTCCTCTTCTAAAGCCAACTGTAGCAGCATGATATACAAACCAAAATGTCAACAAAAATTCATAAAGTTTATATGTACTGTACCTTCTTTCTCTCCTACAATAAAATATTTTAGGCAATCCGGTAATTTTTAAATAATTAAAAGATTGAAAAGGCATACTACAATTAGGAAAAAATATAGTTTAAAACAGATATGATGAGCTATAATTACTGTACTGGTAAATTACCATATTCAAGTTCCCATCACTTTGAAAAATGTACAGAAGGAAGGAATACAAGTTTTATCAGCACTCATCAACTACACTCCTAAGTTTCTGGTCACTCAATGGCCAACTCACTTCCTTATTTTAGAATGATTTAACAATTGGAGGAATTATTTGAATCCATTACCCTTGTTCATCACTTTTTCTGCATGTACAGAGTGATTCAAGAAGAGTCTGCAGAACTTTGTAGGTAAATTAATCAAGTGATTATGAGTGAAAGAAAGTCGTTTTAAAATGTGTCAAATTCAGAAAGGTTGAGAAGCGTCATAGTTTAAAAGCACGATAAGAATATACCAGAAATAAGAAGTTTTCATAAAAAATCTCACAATTTCAATCATATTAAAATAAAAGTTAGTTAACAATGAAATATGTTACAAGAACTAAGCAGAGTGTCTGTCTGTAACTTTAATGACCATTTGAGCATGCATATTACTATAAAGTACACTACAGTAGTCTGTTGAAGTGATTGGCAACAATGTATCAGTAGCATGCTGTCTGTTGACCTGTTGAGTTTTGCTGTACCCATGTCAGAAGTAGGAACAGACCTTCTGTTATTTTGTTTGAAGAACAGTGTTGTTTACAGAAGTGTACACAGTCATACACTTTGTATATGAATTTTGAAATTATAATCCAAGAGCAGCCATTGAGAAGGACTGACAACAATTTCCACACCAGATTATTCCAGAAGGCTGAAAATGAACTTAAAATAAGATTGTCATATTCCTCAGTAAGTAAGAGATAACATATTACAAGCAGCAAAACAAAGTTATGCAATTTTACATCATGCTCGCTTTCTCCATCTTCCCCCAAAATGGAGGCAAACGTCACATTATTTCTGTGTGAAAATGTAAAGAGAAAAAGTAAAACTTCAAACATACACAATCTGAAGAGATCAGCTTCACAAGTGCATCTTTGGGAAGATTCAGGAAAGAGTTTGTCTTGACACACTCAATAGCATTCTCACCAACATAAGAAATACAGCGATCCACAAATGATTTGGTTCCTTTCCCACCTGAAACATATATGCTTGCTAAACAATACATACCTGACACAGTTATTAAAATCACTTAATTTTCAACAAGGCTATGATTTTATCAGATGAGAAGACGTTGCCTTTTTTGTGTCATTCCACCTTCTGCTACTTTGTACCATCATTTGTTTGAGTATTTATTTATTTCAAAGTTCTATAAAATTCAAATGGAAATAATAAATTTTCATATGTTTACAAAAATAGGTTGTAAGGATGGGAAGTGGAATAAACTAGTTCAGAATAGTGTGCAATGGTGAGCTCTGGTATTATCAGTATTGCCCTTCAGATTTTGAAGCAAGCAAACAAACATGCAGGTTAACAATAGATTATACATGATAAATTAATATACTATCACATTTACTATACCATTCTTTTAATTTTATTTGTATTCAGAAAACACAGGGTCATCTTACATTTATGCATAAAGAAAAATGTGTAACATAAGATATAGACAGGAACAGCTGGAGACTCCTGTGCAAAAGTCAACCCACAAATGTGAAAATGACTTAAGGAAAACAATAATCAAAAATTTCTAGAAAAATAGACAAGTGGTACTTGTTGTGTCTCAAAACTCTTCTATCCAATGAGCATCATACCAATTTGAAATAACTGTTAGATTTTTGTTACCATTACCTTCACACTTGCGCTCAATTTATTGAGTTAAAGTGAAAATATTTTCATATTGATTTGCTATGCATACATGAGGGATGCTTATTTACCAATGTCCCTTAGTTTAAGAATGTAGTGATCCTTTGTGGTGATGGTAAAGAACTGAGGTACAGTACTCTATATTAGTGTTAATATTGAACATACTGTATATGTTCAAGTTTATAAGGCATTTTTCATTACCCCATGCATGCTGTGTCCCACCATCTCATTCACCTTGATGTCATCACTCTTAACATTTGGCACACATTCCTGTGTCCCCCTTTTACTTTAAATTTTCTTACACCCATATATCCTTATCAACATTTTGCTTAAAACACCTTCAGTCTATATACTTCCCACATAAAACAATAGATAAAATAATATTTTCTATTTTGGACTGAATGGCATTTTCCAAATGTAATGTTCTCAAATTCTTTACTGTTTTTCCCATGTTATCCATGGATCTACTAGTTCAAAAATCTACATACCACCTTTCTTCAAAGACCAGTCAAGTGTCAGGTTAGAGCTGAAGCACTTATCATAGAATTGAGGGTACCATAATGTGCTGCTTGGTCAATGGCTATCACACACCTGTGAGTCAGTGATAAGAGAGTATGGAGCAATGGTAAAATGGTGATTAGGAGAAAATCAAATAATATGGAGATATACCAACTCCAGTGGCACTTTGTCCACCACACATCTTACCTGAAGTCATACAGCACTGCACCCAGATCTCCAAGCAGCATCTGCCTGCCTAAATTACAGCATGGCTTTATTTCCTAAAAATATCTAAAAAGTCTTTACCCTCCAGAAAGGGTCAACTGTTGAAAGTCTGCCTTCTGCAATCTACCGAAGACCTTCTGTTACCAACATTTTATTTATATTGTGTTCATTCATTGTTGGCTTCTCATGTTCATTACACGTGTTTAGTATTATGCTAACCAACCCTTCCCTGCACAGTTTGCTTTACCTATGACCATCAGAAGCAGCTGTAGCGTGATTACTTTATAAAAATTTCTTTTCATCAAAGCAATGAAGGAAGGCATCACCATAAACCACACTTTTACTTTAAATTAAATTAATTATTCTAGTTCAGCCTTCTGAAACCCCTTTAATACCTGTTATCAACAATCTACATTCAGTCAGTAACAATGCAGAAGATAACATGGGTATATTTCACAGGAAGGGGACATCTGAGAGCCATAGGAGCATAGGAGTGGGATGCACTATGCCAACTTCATGTACTTTCAATGCTTGTTTCAAAGTTGTCTGAAGTGGAGACTATAAAGACAAAACATTTTCCATCTGTGGGGTCCATCAAACAGAGGTTGACTCAGACTGAATTAGTACATCAAAAATAAATATGATAAATAAAAAATACCTTGTATCCTTGTTGCATTACACAGAAGTAGAGAAACATTACTTTTGAACCATAATTACTACTCGATCCCAAAATTTAACCTAACTTTAGTACAGAAAACTAAAATTTGTTTTGAGGCATCATTCTGATCAAATTCTTTACATGTCGCTAACTGGTGTACAAAACTTAATTCAACACTTGGTACAAAAGATCAATGTTTAATGAACAGCTATATGTTCCTTACCTCAAAATAATAATAATTTGTAAATTACATTAATTACTTCATGTATGTCAGACAACAGAATGTAACAACCAGCGTTACTTTCATTTCAGAAATACATATATCACATAACCATTATAACTGACAAAGTGAAAAATCACTGTCCAGCCACTCCTGTATATCAGACTGGTATACTGGGGAGGCTAATTTATTGCTAAACATCACATTCCTGCACACATTCCACCTCTCCAAAAGAATGCTGTTACAGAAGAATGCAGAGGAAGACAAGCTATGCTACATGTCATGTTAATTGTACATTTCTATGAGATCTCCTCACATTTAAATACAGAACAAACAAGCATCAAAACATGAAACTGTATTTTTTAATACAGGTTAACAGACCAAATACCATTATAACCTGTCACTGAAATCACACACAAACCATTATAATTTACCAAATATAACTGTTATTGTAAATAAAAATTCTATAAAGCCATGTACTATAAAATGGAAAGACAACCCACATACACGAAAATTCAATGAAATGATTAAGTTGGCATGGGGCACTTATTTATAGTCTGTGAAATATCAAATAAAGTTGTAACTCAATTCCTGTTATAAAATATTTATATGGTATGGAATTTTGTGACCTGTGGAAATCTCCTTGTACAATATTTCAGGGCAGAACAAATGATGACATTTCAAAAACACAATCACAACAGAATATTATCCTCGTGGCAAGGCATTTACAGAAACACCGCATTCTCAACAAAGTTCTTTGTCACCACTTGCTACCAAAAATTATACAGAGTAAAACAAACACTATCGGAGCCAAAATGTTTACGTCAATAAAATTAATATGGATATAGCCTAAATCATTGCATACTCTTTCACACCACTGGACTTGAATGAAAGTTCCACTCTTCACTACATTCACGTGGAAGTCATTGCTTGAGGATTGACATTCTGGATGAGTGTAATATTGTCACCCTTCAGCATCAGCCGACCTAAAGTCTTCCTGTTTTTTGTCCTCATGTGAAATTCTTCAGCATCATCCAGTACCAAGTTCATGTATTCGTCGAAACCAACAATGTGACCCTCCAGGCGAAGATTCACGTTCTCATACAACCAAACTTGAACGCGTGATCTGGTCTGTAGATATCTGAAGATGAGGTTGATAGGTTGTACCATCACCTTTTGAACTTTCTGCGGTCCTTTGTACGCCATCTCGCTTTTCTCTTTTGCTCTGGATTGCAATTTGAAGCAGTTCTTTTCAACGTTAACGCAACCTTCGATTACAGATAACCTCTACTACACATCAGCTTCTTCCGGCGTCCTTTCAAAATGGCGAATAAACGCAATGCCAATATAACAAATTTTCATTCACCTTAACTTTTATTTTAAATATAATGTCCGGTACCAATTATTATTATTGTAGTCTAATATCGTTTATTAATTATATGAATGCTGTATACAGAAATTACAGACTTTTTACAATATAATTAAATGTTGTTGGCGACATTGCAACAAAAGGCTATGCAATAACACCACCTAGTAGAAGAGCGATAGAACTATGAGTTCATTCATAAAATCAGACACATAGCGTCACTGGTGTCATTACTAGAAACTACATTGAAATTTTGTGAGCAAACATGTTGCTGATAACATTACAATAGGCAATGATATATTGCCACCTAGTAACACAGTAATGAAACTGATTGTATCCTTGAAATCAGACAGAACCTGTTGTCAGTTCTGGAAAGTACATCGTAATACCCCAACAAAGACGAGTACAGTCCGTTAGTAGCTCTGTACAGGCCAATAAATTCACCACGTCTTATGGAACCCGAAGTTTCAAAGCCATGTTCACATGAACCAGCCACACTTGGACCAGATTAACTCCTTCCATTTCTGATCAATTCTATTATTATCCTGTTTTCTGTGACCAGATCAGTTTTCCTAAGTAAAATGTATGTATTTCTGCCACTGGGCTTCCTTCTATAACAAACGTCAACAGCAGCCAAGTTTGCTTAAAATACTGTAATTTAATTTTTTTTTTCAGAAGCGTTTCGTGATCAAAGTTCCTTTTATGTTTTGGAACACACTAAATTTGATTTACAACTGGATGCTGCCATGTTTATGAATGCGACAGTAGCAAGCTGTTGCTAGCATGCTGATGAAGTAAAACACAATGTTTCGCTAACCATTCACTCCTTTAGCTTGTGATCGCGTCTCAGTTGGCGTGGTATATAGCGCGAAATAAGATGTGAGAGGGGAAATACGAAGTGGGAGGAATGGGTCAGGACGCGTTTGTGGTAGATTTTGAAGCAATGTTCCAGAACTCCCTAATATTTTCTATATTCTGTCACGGATTAGAGGTCTACACCAATACAAACAGGGAACAAAGTCTAGTTCTGGCGGACAAAATATTGTGCGCAGATACTGACCCGTATTTCGTAAAGTTATAACAAAATGTGGTATTTACCGATTGCACGGTCCTGAATATCCATTGCGGCGGCCAGTAAAGTGCAGGCATTGAGGATGGACAATGCAGAGGTGACGTGGTCTTCACACGCGGCTCGCAACTCCTCCACACCGAGTTCTTGGGCGAGATTAAACATCTCAAACACTCCACTGTCCTGTAGTATGATCTGACAACACAACAGGGGAAAATCGCATAATTCTAGACGAAGGAACCAGGGACAGATCTTTCATGTTACTGAATAAAAGTGTCCGTCACCAAATTGCATTCTTCAAGGTCACAGCAAATCGTACAACGTTCCACCAAGAACAGCGGAGCCCAAGCGAGTGAAGACAGTACAGAACTCGTAGCGTAGCACAGATAAATGATGAGGAGAGTAAATTCCTTCCGTGGCCTTGAAATATACGATTTGGTGACGCCTGCTACAGTCGGAAAACACTTTGAAAAACGAAAACCGTCAGAGGTCTCTACTACCTTCCCTGTGTAAACGTAGTTGACGAACTGCCTGAACGTATCCCCTTGGAACTGGGGGAGACGAATGGGGGTGGGTGTGCCGGGGGCTGCAGGAGAGACAGAGCATCCAGGAATTCGGCAAACCTCTCCTCTCTTCGCTGTGCCGAAACTCTTGCACCTGAAATATAGATTCGACGTCTTTCACCGGTGTGATAAAAGGATTATTTTGTCCGTGTAGTGCACACTTACAAAAGGACACGTATTATGAATGAGATCTATGGTTTGTACACAAAGCACAATCGAGGGCAGGATGCTATATTAACGGTGCTAAACCTTTGGGTTTTGAGACCACAGTGTTTCTTAGTTTTGTGGTAATAACAATCTGAATGCAGCGAAAGGCCGAAGATGCACTCTACAAGTAACAAAAATTATATAATGAAAAGTTTTGTAATTTGTGAACTTCGTCACATTATTACGACAAGACGTCAACAAGGATTAGATGGACACAAATCAAAATGCACACAGACACTCAGCAAATCGTACAACGTTCCACCAAGAACAGCGGAGCCCAAGCGAGTGAAGACAGTACAGAACTCGTAGCGTAGCACAGATAAATGATGAGGAGAGTAAATTCCTTCCGTGGCCTTGAAATATACGATTTGGTGACGCCTGCTACAGTCGGAAAACACTTTGAAAAACGAAAACCGTCAGAGGTCTCTACTACCTTCCCTGTGTAAACGTAGTTGACGAACTGCCTGAACGTATCCCCTTGGAACTGGGGGAGACGAATGGGGGTGGGTGTGCCGGGGGCTGCAGGAGAGACAGAGCATCCAGGAATTCGGCAAACCTCTCCTCTCTTCGCTGTGCCGAAACTCTTGCACCTGAAATATAGATTCGACGTCTTTCACCGGTGTGATAAAAGGATTATTTTGTCCGTGTAGTGCACACTTACAAAAGGACACGTATTATGAATGAGATCTATGGTTTGTACACAAAGCACAATCGAGGGCAGGATGCTATATTAACGGTGCTAAACCTTTGGGTTTTGAGACCACAGTGTTTCTTAGTTTTGTGGTAATAACAATCTGAATGCAGCGAAAGGCCGAAGATGCACTCTACAAGTAACAAAAATTATATAATGAAAAGTTTTGTAATTTGTGAACTTCGTCACATTATTACGACAAGACGTCAACAAGGATTAGATGGACACAAATCAAAATGCACACAGACACTGCTTGAAAAATCTCGAAGCAGGAGACCGTCTAGGGGTCCAAGGCGAAGGCAAATGGATAATAGGAAAATGCGTCTTAGAACCAAACAGCCTATGGAGTCACGGCTATGCTTAACTGTCTCAAGATAGACTTTGGTGACTTTCTCTTGGCTTCAATGATGAAACGTCTTGAATAGATGAGTAACAGTCCTGTAGACCCACTTAAAGTCAGTCGAGCCTACAGACTCAGTAGAACTTCTACGCCAATCCCTGCATGTATTTACCACCAATTCCATGGAGAACGGCCGTTCTTGAGGAGCTAATAATCGCTCAGTTAATCGAGAAAGTCCACGTCATTTATGGAGCCAGAATATTCATTACCGTGTCCACAAGAGCACTTCATCAGTCCCTGTCTTGTGCCAGACAAATCCACTTCAAACCCAGTTTTCTTAAGATCGGTTTTCATATCAACCTCCCGTCTACATTTCTCAGATGAGT